AGATATTTTTTCTTTGCTTTATCAAAAAAAAAAAAAAAACGTGGCTAGGGATGCCTGGATGGCTCAGATGGTTAAGCATCTGCCTTCGGCTCTGGTTGTCTTCTCAGGGTCCTGGTATCGAGCCCCTGGTATCGGGCTCCCAGCTCAGCGGGGAGTCTGCTTCTCCATCTCCCTCTGCCTCTACCTCTCCTGCTTGTGCTGTCTCTGTCTCTCTCAAATGAATACATAAAATCTTTTTTAAAAATGTAGCTAAATATGGTCCTTAAAAGTTTTAAAGAACTTACACGGAAAAGAGTGGGTCTGGCTTGTTTTTATGGAAATATATATATATTTTTAAGATTTTGTTTATTTATTTGTTAGAGAGAGAGACAGAGAGAGCACAAGCAGGGGGAGCCACAGAGGGAGAGGGAGAAGCAGACTCCCCACTGAGCAGGGAGCCTGATGTTGGGGTCCATCCCAGGACCCTGGGATCATGACCTGAGCCGAAGGCAGACGCTTAACTGAGCGAGCCACCCCGGTGTCCCTGGAAATATTTTGATAATCTTTTTCAATTTCTTCCACAATCACTGGATTTTTTAAGTGTTCTCCTGTAGGAGAGGAGAACAGCAGGAAATTTATGTTTTCTACAAAGTTTTCTATTTAATGCTTTCAAATTTAATAGTCTAAAATTATATTAGATATTTGCTTAAAATTTAAAAATTAATTTATATTACTGACTATATCCCCTTCATTGATCCTAATTTTGTGGGCTTTTTTCTTTTTTCTAAATAGATATCTTAATTAGATTTGCCAAATCTTTGTCTGCATCAGGAGTCTGTATACCTGTTGGCCAAATCCTGCCAGCTGTCTGTTTTTGTAGAGTGTGGTCTAAGAACTGTTTTCACATTTTTAATTCTTTTTATTTTTTTAAAGATTTTATTTATTTATTTGAGAGAGAGAGAGAATGAGAGATAGAAAGCACTAGAGGGAAGAGGGTCGGAGGGAGAAGCAGACTCCCTGCTGAGCAGGAAGCCCGATGTGGGACTCGATCCCAGGACTCCAGGATCACGACCTGAGCCGAAGGCAGTCGCTTAACCAACTGAGCCACCCAGGCGCCCTGTTTTCACATTTTTAAGTGGTTGAAAAAAAATGAAAAGAATAATGCTCACGATGTGAAAAATTCTAAGAAATCAAATTTCAGAGTCCATCATGAAGTGTGATTGGAGCCCAGCCATACTCATTCATTTGTGCATCATCAATGGCGGCTTCTGCACTACAATGGCAGAGCTGAGTCAAAGAGACCCCACAGCTTGCAAAGCCTAAAATATTTACTGTCTGGCCCTTGACAGACAAAGTTTGCTAAACCCTTTGATGAGGAGAACAAAGGCAAAAGAAAAGTAGGTAAAATTAAATTTCCTTACAACTTGCAGCCCATTGACAAATACTTGAGACAGGCAGAGTACGGAGGCAATCCTCAAGGAGTTCACAACTGCCTTAATGTTAATGCTTTCCTAGAGACTAAAAGCAACCTTAGCTTGACAATAGCCAGACCTCCAGGGTTCTCTCCCTCCCTCTCCCTCCCTCTCCCTCCACCTGCCCCCACCACTCCCCCGCAGTGCACTCGTGCGCGCGACTGCACGTGCTCTCTCTCTCTCAATAAATAAAAAAGTGGAATATTTATTAAAAAAAAGATTTTATTTATTTATCTGATAGAAAGAGAGAGAGAGAGCGCACCAGCAGGCGAGGGAGAGGCAGACCCCCTGCTGAGCAGGGAGCCTGCCGTGGAACTTGTTCCAGGACCTGGGGATCACGACCTGAGCCAATGGCAGACACTTAACCGACTGAGCCACCCAGGTGCCCCTCAGTGAACTGGTTTTTAAAAAATTTTTCTTCCCTAGAATAATGGGAAAGGTATACAATCCATTTTAAAGAATTATTTACTTTTAGAGAGAGAGCACGTCATCAGCAAGAGAGAGAGCAGCGGGAAGGGCAGAGGGAGAGGGAGAGGAGAATCTCAAGCAGATCTCTGTTTGAGCTCTGAGCCCAGGGAGAGGCTTGATCTCACAACCCTGAGATCACAACCTGAGCCAAAGCCAAGAGTTGGACACTCAACCAACTGAGCCACCCAGGTGCCCCCAATCCATTTTAAATTTACTACAATAATGTTACTGCATGAATCAGTGTTTTTAATTTTAGAAAAACATAGTAAAATGGGCGCCTGGGTGGCTCAGTCGTTAAGCGTCTGCCTTCGGCTCAGGTTATGATCTCAGAGTCCTGGGATCAAGTCCCATATCGGGCTCCCTACTCAGCGGGAGGCCTGCTTCTCCCTCTCCCACTCCCCCTGCTTGTGTTCCCTCTCTCACTGTGTCTCTCTCTGCCAAATAAATAAATAAAATCTTAAAAAAAAAAAAAACGTAGTAAAAGTTCAAATAAGAAGGTAGCAATCACCCATACCTCCAACTTTAGAATTGATTACTGTTAAGATTTTGGTATTTTTGCTTTTAGTCTTTTTCCCCCTCATGTATATATTTTTAGTTATTTATTTTAAGATTTCATTTATTTATTTATTATTTTTTTAAAGATTTTATTTATTTGTTTGACAGAGAGAGACACAGCAAGAGAGGGAACACAAGCAGGGGGAGTGGGAGAGGGAGAAGCAGGCTTCCCGTGGAGCAGGGAGCCCGGTGCGGGGCTCGATCCCAGGACCCTGGGATCGTGACCTGAGCTGAAGGCAGACGCTTAACGACTGAGCCACCCAGGCACCCCCATTTATTTATTTATTTTGAGAGAGAGCAAGAGTGTGTGAGCGCACACATGTGGCACTAGCTGTGCGGGGGGAAGAGAGAGAGAGAATTTCAATTAGACTCGTGCTGAGCACGGAGTCCAACTCGGGACTCAATCTCACAACCCTGAGATCATGACCTGAGCCAAAATCAAGAGTCGGATACTTAACTGAGTGAATCACCTAGGCGCCACTCTATGTATATATTTTTAAAACATCATATAAAGAATAAATTATGCATAAAATATAGAGCCTGACAGGTAAAGCCAAAGCCCCCAATCCTCTTTCCATCACTCCAGGTAGCCAGTATTATGCTATGTATCTATTTCTCTAGTCCTTATTAGCCACAGAAAATACAGGTATTCCTGGCTATACATATATTCACTATCCAAAAGATTATTCTGAACAACTTGTGAAAAATTTTACCCGAAACTTGCTATGCAAATAAAAACCTGATTATAATGAAATGTCATGCACATGGAGCAAAAACATTTAGGCTAAGATTCTTTGACAGTTAGGGGTAGGCCATTGGAGGAAAGTGGATGGAAGACTCCTTTGGTCCCCATGGCTTGGCCATTCTGCCTCAAGGATTCAGCCTGCTATTGTTTACCTGGACAGTAGTTTCTATAGTTTTTGGAGCTCCTGACATTTGTATCTTTTTTTGCATGTTATATTAAGTACTTTAAAGGCAAGACACAATAAAATCAGGAGTCGGTAACTTTCTGCCATTATAATCTGGAAGCCCCATATACTATTTTTTTATATTCACAAAAACGAAACTAAATGAAAATATTTCTTAAAATGCCAGTGAATGTACCCAAGAGAAAACATAATTTTGGAAAAACACTCAACAGATGTATTTTAGAAGGTAGCAATGGCTCAAAGAAGCAAATAAAAGCAGAGAAGAGAACGGAGACTGCTTGCAATGGGATTTCCTAGCATTACAGGATGAAGCCAGGGCTATTTTTGGGTGTTCCATGTGTTTCAGGATGGGGAAGACAGTCTTCCTCCAAAACACCTCTAGTGAAACGCCTACACATTGTATAACTTGGCAGTTGCATTAAAATTAAAGATAAAAACATATTGACAAAAGTCTAGATTACCTAATGTGAGACGATCAAAAGAGCTAACTAAGCATGTATAGCTTACTAAAGCCACATTTATATCAGTCTGTCTATAATTCTTAGGTTTAGGTAATATCTAACTTTTCCCTTCAATAGAGTTAATTAGAAAATTGAGAAAAGTATAATGACCTAATGGAATTGAAAGACATTATCTGCTAAAATGGAGATCATACAACAGAAAAGTAGAAACAGTTTCTTTTCTGATAGTATCTGTTGTCAGTACAGCGTCACTCATGATGCTGGGCACATCCCACCTCTCCATCTACCTTAAATAAGATAGCCTTATCTATAGGACCCGGTTCAGGCCAGCAGGGCTAGGCTGATCTGTGTCTAGAGACGGCCCCTAGATTGTTGGCCCCTGACCAAAGGACAGCCCAAACAGGCTGGCCAACAGTTCATGGTAGTACTGTGTGAAAAGCTATGCTTGGCCAGATTGCTCTCTTGGAAATTTAAAACAGAAGAATGGGGGAAATCTGTCAATTGGAAAGAGTAGAGACGGAGTAGCTGAGTCTCATGAATAAGATTTTGATACCTTAACTGCAGACCCCTCTTTTTTTTTTAAGATTAAAAAAAAAATTTTATTCATTCATTTGAGAGACCGAGCGAGAGAGGGCGAGAGAGCACAAGCAGGGGGAGCAGCAGAGGGAGAGGGAGCAGCACACTCCCTGCGGAGCAGAGAGCCCCACGCGGGGCTCGATCCCAGGACCCTGGGAACATGACCTGAGCTAAAGGCAGATGCTTAATGACTGAGCCACCCAGGCGCCCCTGCAGACCCCTCCTCTTTCTGCAGTCTTATTATTTCAGTTCTCCTTCACAATAAAAATCCCTCTGTAACATTGTTTTTAATTTTAAAGTATATTTACAAACAAACCCATCACAACTCAGTCAAGTGAGGTGGGATTAAACATTGTTGAGATGAGAAAACTGCGGCAGAGTGTGATCAAAGACACCGTTCAGGTCACACAGCTTCTCAATAGCATAATCACGGTGACACAAGATAACGAGCTCTGCTTTCCCATTAGACCACCACGACTGTTTTCATTCATAGCTCTTTCTCCCCAAATATTAGCTACCTCAGGCACGATACCGTAAGGCAAACAAAGCTTCCCTCTCACCTGGCTGCTGAATGGTCGTTACTGCCTGAGCATTGCACTGCAGCTGGAGCATGTGCTTCAACATGGCCACTCCCCAGGCACTCAACTCGGAACACCAGGCAGGAGGCGCTGTGGCCGGCTTTGAGGAATCGGCTGTCTCGAGCTGCCTGCAGAGCGCGGACACACTGAGAGCACAGAGGAATTTGTACTCTGGGCTATGGTTTTCAGTATGGGGCATGAGGTGGAAGACAGCATTATAGTTATTCTCGTATTTGCCATTAAGATCACATCCTGGAACTGGGGTCTTAACTGTTGTGCCATTTTTCTCACTCTCCCCTCCCAGGTCAGAACTGGGTGTTTGTGCCAGATTCTCACTTTCAGGTGAACACATGTCCTTGTTAGTCATCTCAACACAGAGCTTTCTTATGACTTTGCTGGCATCCTCAAATCTAGCTAAAAGAGTCGACCTCAGGGCGATGTGGCAAAAGATACCCAGGGTGAGCAGCAGGCCCCCTAGAGGACACTCTCTATTATGGTAGAGATCCCAGGCCTGCTGCATACACTCATGGCTGCAGTACTTGGCGTAGCTACAACCATCACAGGGAACAGTGGCCAAAGTGTGCCTCAAACATCGGTGACAGTAGAGGTCCCCATTAGTAACTTGGGTATCCCACTTGCTCTCTAAGCCATGATGTAGTGGTGGCCTTTCTCCCAGGTTAAGGACACTCACAAAAGCATCCTCCTTCACCAAGAGCTCTCCCGGGAGAATATCTTTTGTGGCAATCAGATAGCGGCCTTTTAAAGGGTCCATGCATAGGCTGACAGATGATGATGCACCGGGAATCTGTTCATTCTCTTCCCTTAGGTCCATATCCTCAAAGGCTTTCGTTAGAGTTGCTGGGAAGGATGCTGTGAGATTCTCCCTTTCTTGTACCTTCATTTTCAGACGACAGAGGTTTCTCTGCAGAATTTGAAACTGGGCAGCTGCTAGGCTTGGTTTGGCAGCAAAGTCACTTTCAAGATCCCTGATGGTCTGGCCTGCCTCCTGTAGTCTCCCTAGGGTCACCAGACATTCGACCTTACGCAACGTCACCTTGGGTTGCAAACTTTCTGGATACCCATGCATCTGTGCTCTCGTGATGTCTTTAAGACACATCTGAAAACAGAAAGGAAATCCCCACATGACCCTTGGTCCTGACTCTTCAATGTCTACTGAAAATCTTAACAAAAATCTACAGGAAAGTTAAAGATGATTAAAAATGGAGCAACTATAACCACATGCTTATTTCTTTAAATCATACTCTACGGTGTGATCTTTTGAGTAATTAATACTTGTCAAGGATATTGTATTTAATTGTCTTATTAAATATTTGTTTTGAGGGGAAAAAAAAGTCTTACAGATAGAAGAACTGTAGTGATTAAAGGGGTAAGCTTAGAAGCCAGACAGATCTGCACTCCACTACTGATTGCTTCTTAGTGCTGGACGACCTTGTGCAAGGAACTTAATTTCTCAGTGTCTTAGTGTTCTCATCTGAAAAACACGGATACCTCACAGGGTTGTTTTAAGGATGAAATAAGGTAATATACCTAAAGTGCTGAAAAGAGTGCATGTGTTCAATGTATGATAATCACTGCTATAAGAAGGGAAATAGAAATAACCAATATAGGGAGGTTATAAAGGGTTAAATATTTTACAAGTTCTTCCAACTGTTGTCCTCAATTGTCTAGGACTTCTTGCTTAGGGCCTAGAGTTAAATTCTTACTCGCCTCTTTTATTTTATTTTACTTTTAGAGAGAGAGAGAGAGAGAGAGAGGGTGAGAGTGGGGGGGGGGGAGCAAAGGGGGAGAGAGAGACAGAGAGAATCTTAAGCAGGCTCCACGCCCCAGCGCAGAGCCTGATGTGGGGCTTGATCTCAGGATCCTGAGATCATGACCTGAGCCGAAATCAAGAGTCGGACACTCAACTGACTGAGCCACCCAGGTGCCCCCCGTGCTTGTCTCTTTCAGTTCAAAGGGCAGTAAGTGTGAACTTGTGATTATTCAACTAGTTCTTAACTCTAGGGCATATTTTAAAAATTTCTGTGGAATTCCAAAATGGATGTACCAAAATGACATTTGAGAGCTTGGCTTTAGTCCTCAATCGGGAGATGAGAAGAAAGCCACTCAGATCAAGCCCACTCCCTCACAGGCATACACAGGCATTTCAGTGAAACTTTTACTTGCCCATTCAAAATGCGTGTTGAGGGTGAGCCATATTACTGCAGGGATAATCTTGAACATGCTTCACTTAATTAAGAAACAAACAAACAAGTAAATAGTTTGCAAACACTTGGAACCTGAAGTATTATTAGCAACATATCTCACAGCTGATCTTGACACTGAGAACTGCTGACCCACTGGATATCATCCATGGCCCCGTGCCATGTGCCATGACTCCTATCAACCAATACTACCCCACGTGATCACCTGTGATAGGTAAAATGAATCAGGAGAAAGAAAAAAATGCATCAGGAGAAAGAACATATTTGGGAGGATACCAATTTTCTTCCAACTCAACCAGCTGCAGCAGGGCCCAGTTTTAGTCCTCTAAGGTAGGAGCAGAGCTGAAGATCTAGTCTTCCAGTGAACCCCCTACAGATCCTCTCCAATCATACCAGGCACCCCGATACTCACTTCATACTCATCCAGGTAGAAAAGGGCCGCAGAGCGATTGGCATAACACAGTGAAATGTCTGCACTGTGAGGTTTTGCATGCGATATTCCCTGCAAAACAATGAACCAGTTAAAGGCATAAACAAAAACTGGCATTTTTAAAAATAATTTCTACACCCAACATGGGGCTGGAACTCATGACCCCAAGATCAAGAGTCACATGCTCTGCCTACTGAGCCAGACAGGCGCACTGAAAACTAGCATTTTTAAAGTTTTTTGGGGGTGGGGGGACACCTGGGTGGCTCAGTTGGTTAAGCGTTGGCCTTAAGCTCAGGTCATGATCCCAGGGTCCTGGGATCGAGCCCCGCATCCTGCTCAGCTGGGAGCCTGCTTCTCCCTCTGCCTACCACTCCCCTGCTTGTGCGCATGCATGCTCTCTCTCTGACAAACAAATAAATATAATCTTTAAAAAAAATAAACTTTTTTTTTTCAGATAATAAGGGCTATACTATGAAAGGTGGTATGAAATTGGTAAAGTTAGTGGATCTCTTTGTGCTTCAGCTTCATTTTTAACTACCTTAGAGCAAAGCTGTGAAGATCAAGTGAGGAAATAAATATTTAAAGCACTTTTAAGACAGCAGCATCAGACACAGCTTCAGCCACAAACAATACTGAAGGTAAATGAAAACAGAGGAAAATATTGCAAGCACAATCCCAACATAACAAAGGGTGAGTGGCACAAATAGAAATTCACAGAAGAAACACTAACAATACTTATTTCTTAGAAAACAAATAGTTAATTCATTTGTGGATCACAAAATATATGAAAACGAAAGCACACAAAGTTTCCTTTTTTCTACCATGAAATTGGCAAGGATTAATAATTATCATAAAGGCAGCATCTCACATCACTGGAGAAAAGATAGGGATTATTCAATAAAAGTACTGACAAGTAGGTAGCCATTGAAGACAAATAAAGTTGGTTCTCTATTTATGATAAACCTTTCATTAGGATAAATTACAAATGGATAAAAATCTTAATGTAAAAAATGAAACTCTCAGAGCACTAGAAGAAACTATAGGAATAATCTAAAGTAATGTTGGAGTGAGGAATCCCTTTCTAACTATGATACAAAACCCAAAAGTCATAAGAGGTTAATAAATTTGACTATATAAAACATTTCTTTATAGCAAAAACCAATAAAAGCAATATCAAAAGGCAAACACTGAACTGGAAAAAATATCTGCAACTCTATATCACAAGCAAAGGGCTCATTTCTTTACTTTATGATTAGTTCCTACAGATCAATAAGATGATGACCAATAATTCAATAGGAAAATATGCAAATGATAGGAACAGACAGTTCTAATGGGAAATATAAATGGCTCAAAAACATGAAAAAAGCTCAACTTCATTCGTAATCAGCAAAATGCAAATTAAAACTCTACTGGATCTTGAAAACATTATGCCGAGGGAAATAAACCAGAAACAAAAGGACAAATATTGTATGATTTCACTTGCATGAGGTACCTGGAATTGGCAGTATCACAGAGACAGAAAGTAGAACAGAGGTCGACTGAGGTGAGGGGGGAGGGAGGTATGGAGAGTTAGTGTTTGTTTAATGGGCACAGTTAGTTTGGGTTGATGAGAATGTTCTGGAAATGTATAGTGATGACAGTTGCACAACACTGTGAATGTACTTAATGCCACTGCACTAGATACTTAAATATGGTTAAAATGGAATATTTTATGTAGTGCATATTTTACCATGATAAAAAGTTTTCATCTGATAAATTGAAAAAAAACTCCAAGATACTATTTTTTTATTTATCAGACTGGCAAAGATAAATAAAATTGATAGCACACTGAGTTGTCAAAGGAGTGGGAAAATGGGCATTCTTATATGTTGCTAGTGGGAGTATAAGTTGGTTTCATGATTATGAAGGGCAAGTTAGCAATATGTATGTGTATTTCATAAACACCCATATCATTTATATCTCCATTACACCAGCAATTCTTCTTCTAGAATTTATCCTACAGATAGAAGCCTTTACCTTAAAGATATGTGCAAAATAATATGCAAAGTTTCTCAACACAGGGTTGTTTGGAATAGCAAAAGATAGGAAACAACTTAGATCAACTACATATAGATTTATAAGACAGTGGTTAAATAAACTATACATCCATATTACGGAGTATCATGTAGCTATAAGAAAAGAATAAGGAAGCTCTTAATGTACTGATGTAGAATGATCTTCAAGATACTAGTAAGTGAAAAAAGCATGGGGCTGAACAGTGTATATAGAATGTTATTTACATAAAAAGTGTTGTGTGTGCAGGAATGAGAGTATTTGTATTCATTTATATATGCCAAAGTACCTCTGGAAAGATACATTTAAAAAAAAATTTATTTATTTACTTTAGAGAGCATATGAACAGGGGGATGTACAGAAGGAGGTACGGAGGGAGAGACTGCAGTGGACTTCTTGCTGAGCGCTGAGTGAGGAGCCTGAGGTGGGGCTTGATCCTAAGACCCTGAAATCAGGACCCTGAGATCATGACCTGAGCTGAAATCAAGAGTCAGAAGCTTAACTGACTGAACCACCCAGGCGCCCTGGAAAGATACATTTAACAGTGCTAGCTTCTGGTATTGGGTAAAGAGGTGGCTAGGGGGCAGAAGAAATAGGCTATATTGTATATATACTCTTGTACCTTTTGAATTCGAACTAGTAAACACATTTCCTATTCAAACATCAATAGAGGAGCACCTGGGTGGCTCAGATGGTTAAACGTCTGCCTTCGGCTCAGGTCATGATCCCAGGGTCCTAGGATCGAGCCCCACATCGGGCTCCCTGCTCAGCAGGAAGTCTGATTCTCCCTTGCCCTCTGCCTCTCCCCCGAATTGTGCTCTCTCCTGCTCTCTCTCAAATAAATAAAATCTTTAAAAATAAATAAATAGATAAAATAATAATAAAATCCTAATAACTAGTATTGTTAAGGATATAGAGAAACGAATATTCCCATACTTTTTTTTTTTTTAAGATTTTATTTATTTATTTGACAGAGAGCGAGAGAACACAAGCAGGGGGAACAGTAGAGGGAGAGGGAGAAGCAGGTTCCTCGCCAAGCGGGGAGCCCGATGTGGGGCGATCCCAGGACCCTGGGATGATGACCTGAGCCGAAGGCAGACGCTTAACCATCTGAGCCACCCAGGCGCCCCAAACATTCCCATACTTTACTAAAAGGGTTGTTAACTAGTTCTTTCCTAGAGAACAATTCAGCATCAAGTACCAAAGGCCTTAACAAAATAAATCCAACTGACCCAGCAATTGCTCTTCTAGGAATTTATCCTAAGAAAACAATCAGATGTGTAAAAATATTTACATAGAAAGACGCTCCTTTGTAGCTCTACAATACCAAGCAGTCTGCCAACATTAGATGTTAAATCAAGTATAGTTCTCTGTAATGGAACACTAAGCTAGCCGTAAAAAATCATGTGCTAGTGGAAAATTTAATAACACGAGAAAATGGTCATAATAAATTGTTGAGGGAGAAAAGCAGATTACAAAACAGTAAGTGCAGCATTATCCCAATTTTGTAAAAGAAAAACATATTTTCAGAGGAAAAAGTGCATGGATATAAGCAAAAATGTTAACAGTGCCTATCATTGATTATGGGATTTTTTTTACTCCTTATGCTTCTCTCTATTTTCCAAATAACTCACAAAATATAGTACTTTTATAATCAGATAAAAACAAGTATTATTTTAAAAAAGAAAGAAAATAGCAGCTTTGTAGAAAACTGCAAAGTACCATAATCACCAAAATACTAGCTTCGTGAAATAGGAAGGCTCATCTCCCTCCACATTCAGAGCAAACCTTAATTTTTTGTCTGATTTCACTTTTACTTGTTTTCCTTTAACAACTTCCCATGGGATTACATTTCTGATGTACATGCATAAAGTTGAAGAGATTAGCTCTGAAAAAGAACTATTAAGCCATTTATTAGTGTATCATTGCATCTAATGAATCTTAATTTTCCAGCACTCACTAATGCTTACAGTACTCCACTAAATATTTTATAACATTACAAAGCAGGGCCTTTATCAGTTAGAGAGGCTGTTGTTCCAAGTCTGATAGTTGTTGGAAAACGAATTCCAAACATCAAGTTTAGCCTTGTTGAAGATTCAGAGTAGGGGTACACATTCAAAATCACATTCATTCTTTTAATAATCTTCACAGACCTGTTGCAGGGGATTGGTTCATTCTTGCTTTAGGCCCATATTTATCTCTTAAATGTTATGGAAGGAAGTCTCTCAGGGGTCTTATTTCAGTTTCTACCATGGAAGCAGGACCATAAGGGCAGCAGATTGGTAAAAGTCACTTTCTCTAGTCACTCAAAATCTAGTTGAGGGATGCTTAATTTTAAATACGGGCACATCTCATTTTAATGTGCTTTGCGGACACGGTATTTTCTTTTCTTTCTTTTACAAATTAAAGGTTTGTGGCAATCCTGCATCAAGCAAGTCTATCAGCACCATGTAATAGCATTTGCTCATACTGCGTCTCTGTGTCACATTTCGTTAATTCCTGCAATATTTCAAACTGTTCATCATTATATTTGTTATAGTGAGCTGGGATTAGTGATGATGACTTGCTGAAAGCTCAGATGGTGGTATTGTTTTTAGCAATAAAGTATTTTTAAATTAAGGTATACAGTGTTTTTAGACATCATGCTATTTGCACACTTAACAGACAATGCTATGGTGTAAACAACTCTTATACACACTGGGAAACCAAAAAATTTACTTGACATGCTTTACTGCGGTAGTCTGGAACCAAACCCACAATATCTCCTAGGTATTTCTGTATCTGTTGACAACCTTCAAAATGGAGTTCAAATAGGCTGTGGCAACTGAGCTTATTTTCCTTTCAGACTTAATCTAAGTCATACTGGTTGTAAACTAACACCGTGGCTAACCAAAAATCGAGGTGCTCTCTAAATTGGGACTATCAAACCAACAGCCTCATCATTCATCAGATAAAAATGGCATGCAATTCAGTGACAGCTGACAGACACGGGCAAGGCAGAGCCAGGGGTCCAATAAGCCTATAGTGCTACAAGGCATCTGAGGGAATTTGAGAAGTTTCTGGGTGGAATCCAGGACATATAATACAAACTACCTGTCGTTTCGGCATATAACCAACAGCAGAATTCTGCCAGTTTTCTTTATCAAATTCAATTCACAAATGATAAACAAAGCAACCACTGGCTACACAATTCAGCAAGAAGCTTCTATCTTGTGAAGAAATATGCTTGCTAAATTGTTAACATAGCATAACACCCCTCCTGCTGAGCTGGGGGGTGCCTTACCTTAGAGTACAGCACTGTGGCTCCCATATAATCCTTCTTCTGAAATTTTTTGTTTCCTTCTTCTCTGTAGAAAGGGGGAGCATTGGGGTCCTTTCCCACCAGGTAACCTCTAGAGAGACTTTTTAAAAACATCTCATCCTCAGGTCTTCATGAAGAAACAAACAAAAAAGAGCACAAATTTGTTATTTCAAGGGAAGCTCCTAACCACTGAACTTGAAATGGGGGTGAGTAGCTGCAAAACACTGGGACACATGAGGTTGTCTGGGTCATGTAATGTGAATGGGGGCAGGTGACCTTGCCTAAAATAATGAATTCTTTCCTAATAATTTCCTTTTTTTCCACTCCCTCTCTACCTTTAAAAACCTTCCCTTTTCTGTAGCCTTTTGGAGCTCCCCTCTAGTTGCTAGAAGGGATGCTGCTGCTCAACTTTCTTTTTTAAAGATTTATTTATTTATTTGAGAGATAGAGCATGAGCAGAGGGAAGGAGTAGAGGGAGAGGGAGAAGCAGGCTCCCCGCTGATCAAGGAGCCCGATACGGGGCTTGATCCCAGACCCCTGGGATTACGACCAGAGCGGAAGGCAGATGCTTAACTGATTGAGCCACCCAGGCGCCCCAGGATACTGCTCAATTTATGAATCAATTAATAAAGCCAGCTTGATTTTTAAAATTTACTTGGTTGACTTTTTGTTATTTAACAAAGGATATCACACAGCAATTCTTGGTACTATTTTTGCAAGTAATTCTGAAATTATTCTAACCCGAAAAGCTAAAAAAATAAGTATACAAATGCTCTATATTAATAAAATTAATAAAGTTGATCTAATACGTACACAAATATACACACACACAGGCAATGGAGACTAAACCTTTCTCCCAACAAGGAGAAATAGTATAGAATACCCCAGATTCTCTCTTTGACTGTAAAGCAATAAAGTAAAATATGCATACCGTGAAAACTAAAAATTCTCTTAAGCAACTCTTGGGTCAAAGAAATCAAAATCAAAACTGAAGAATGTTTAGAAAAGTGTATTTCAAATTTTTGTTTACAAAGACCCATAATAAGAAGTATCTTTTAAACTAGATTCAATATATCTCTGTATGTATATATTGAAATTTCACAAAACATTCTGTATGAGTTATTATCAAATATTTTATTAATATTTAAATACAATATAGAAAAAGTCTCAAATAACACAAAAAGGAAAATTAGAAAAGATTTTATTTAATTTAAACGATGTGTTTGGGGCACCTGGGTGGCTCAGCTGGTTAAGCATCCCAACTCTTGATTTCAGCTCAGGTCATGATCTCAGGGTCCTGGGATCCAGCCCTGCATCGGGCTCTGCATTCAGCAGAGTCTGCTTGTCCCTCCCCCTCTGCTCCTCCCCCCACTGGTGCTCTCTCTTTAAAATAAATAAATAAAATCTTAAAAAAGTGTGCTTGCCTGTTCTAAATTTATTCCAGTCTAAAACATTAGGAGGAGTATGCCCCATCCATATCTGGTGCACCATAGAGCCTGTTCTTTTTTCTGTTTTATTTTGAATTAGGTTAACCCTGAAAATCCTAGTTCAAACAAAAAGACTGTGATGAGTAAGAACAGCAAAATTCTTCTTGCCTAACAATGGATATTCTTTATCTTAATCTAAAATGATGATAAATTCAATGTTGTGTAAATGTTCTTTAGGGCAATTAAGAACTAAGCTGCCATAATTCATTCTTTTCTTCAGGTACCAAGTAAACTCAGTAATTGATTCAAAGTTTTGAAAAGCAAATGGATGTTCTATCTTTTTTTTAATATCAAATTTTCTTCTGGAATAGTATGATAAAAATTTGAGGAAGATAAAACAATTTTTCTAATTAATTTTTTATGGTGGTAAAATACACATTACAAAATTTACATTTTAGCCATTTTTAAGTGTACAGTTCAGTAACATTAAGTACATTTATAATGTTGTACAATCATCACCACCATCCATTTCCAGAACATTGTCACCATCCCAAACTGAAATTCTGTACTCATTAAAAGATAACTCCCCACTGCTCCTTCTCCCTTCTCCTTAGCCCCTGGTAACCTCTATTCTATGTTCTGTCTCTATGAATTTGTCTATTCTAGGTACTTCAGGTAAGTGGAATCATATAATATTTATCCTTTTATGCCTGGCTTATTTCACTTAGCATACTATTCCCAAGATTCATCCATGTTGTAGCATGTACCAGAATTTCATCTCCTTTTATGGACACATATTCTATTGTATGTATATACCAAATTTTGTTGATCCATTCATCTGTGGACGGACATTTGGGTTGTTTCCATTTTTGGCTATTGTGAAAAATACTGCCATGAACACTGGTGTGCAAATATCTGTTCAAGTTCTGTTTTCAATTTTTTTTTAAAGATTTTATTTATTTATTTGACAGAGACACAGCGAGAGAGGGAACACAAGCAGGGGGAGTGGGAGAGGGAGAAGCAGGCTTCCCGTGGAGCAGAGAGCCCGACGTAGGGCTCAATCCCAGGACCCCGGGATCATGACCTGAGCCGAAGGCAGATGCTTAACGACTGAGCCACCCAGGCGCCCCTGTTTTCAATTTTTTGAGGTATAAATGCAAAAGTGGGGTGGCTGGATCATATAGTTAATTCTAGTTTTAATTTCTTTTTTTAAGATTTTATTTACTTATTTGAGCGAGAGAGAGCACCAGCTGGGGGAGAGGCAGAGGGAGCAGCAGACTCCCCACTGAGCAGGGAGCCCAACGTGGGGCTCTATCCCAGAACCCTGGGATTATGACCCAAACTGAAGACAGACAATTAACCAACTGAGCCACCTAGGTGCCCCTCTAGTTCTAATTTTTTGAGGAATTATACTGTTCTCCATAGTGTCTATACCACTTTACATTCCCACCAGCAATGCACAAAGGCTCCATTTCTCCACATCCTCACCGACACGTGCTATTTTCTGTTTGTTTGTTTTCCCTAGTAGCCATCCTAATGAATGTGAGGTGCTATCTCACTGTAGTTTTGATTTGCATTTCCCTAGTGATTGGTGATTTCAAGAGCACCTTTTCATGTGCTTGTCGGCCATTTATATATCCTCTTTGGAGAAATGTCTATTCAAGTCCTTTGCCCATTTTTTAAAGGTTTTTTTTTTTTATTTATTCACTTGAGAGAGAGAGAGAGAGAGAGAGAGAAAGAGAGAGTGAGAGCACAAGTAATGGGGGTGTCAGAAGGAGAGGGAGAAGCAGACTCCCCGCTGAATAAGGTGCCCAATGTGAGGCTTGATCCCAGGACTCCTGGATCATAACCTGAGCTGGAGGCAGACGCTTAAGTGACTGAGCCACCCAGGTGCCCCTTTTACCCATTTTTAATCAGGTTGTTTGTACTCTTGCTGTTGAGTCTAAGGGTTTTCTATATATTCTAAATATTAATCCCTTATCAGATATGTGATTTGCCAATATTTTCTCCCATTCTGTGGGTTGCCTTTTCTAAAAATCTTTTTTATTTTTGTTTATTTATTTTTTTTAGTAATCTCTCTGCCTAATGTGGAGCTTGAACTTACGACCCTGACATCAAGAGTCGCATGCTCTACAGTCAGGTGCCTCTCTGTGTGTTGCCTTTTTACTCTGTTGATATTATCTTGTTATGTACAAAGTGTTTTAATTTTCACAAAGTCCAATTTGTCTATTTCTTCTTTTGTTGCCAGTGTCTTTGGTGTTATATCCAAGAAAATATTGCCAGCCGATGTAAGTCTTTTTTTTCTTTCTTTTTTTTCAATGTCGTTAAGTTTTACCTTAGGTTTTCTTCTAAAAGTCTTAGAGTTTTAGCTCTTTAGTTTAAGTCCTTGGGCTATTCTGAGTTAGCTTTTGCATATGGTATAAGGTGAGGGTCCAACTTCATTCTTTTCACGTGGATTCTAATTAGGGAGAAGACAGAAAGAACCAAGTTTCTACTTCCAGTCTTGCCTTTTCTCTCTAGACCTCTACAGAGGGAAAGCCTCTCAGGGAGTCAATCGGCAAAGCATCAAGTTCCAGCCTCAGCGCAGAGTACAGAAGATTGTACTGAGAAACAATAGCTTAACTCCCATACATCCATGTTTTTTCCTGAACCATTTGAAGGTAAGTACAATCATCATGAAAGTTCACCTTTAAGCATTTCAGTAGGCCTCTGCTAAGAATAAGAATGTTTTATATCTTCATATCACACACTGTCATTATCAGACAGGAAAAAATTAACACTAATTCAAATATTTAAATTAAAATTTCCCAATTATTCCTAAAATAACTTTTATGTTCTTCTAATTGCCCCAACCTGATCCAGGATCAAAGTTTTGTTTTGTTTAGTATTTTATTTATTTATTTTAAAGATAGAGCAAGTGGGGGGAAGAGCAGAGGGAGAGGGACAAGCAGACTCTGCTGAGCACAGAGCCCGATGTGGGGCTCGATCCTAGTGAATAAGGAAAGGGTTAAGGTATAGGCAGGGAGAGGTAGGGGGCACTGGCATATTCCTGGCAGGCAGAAGCCCTAAGCCAGAGTGAACAAGAGATAAAGAAACAGATCACCTGGCCTCTGATGTTAGGGAGTTTTTTCTTTGGTGGTTACAGTGTAATCATAGAAAATAACCAAACCTCAAAGAATTAAGTCATTAAGGGTGTTATCAATAGTCCTTGCTCAAACCAAGAGGGCACAAGAATCTCAAGGCCACAAGCTTCCCAGTCAGTTCTCAATAAAAGACTGACACTAAAAACCCTCAGTGGCAACCCATTCGGGACCCCTCTCCCTCTAGAGAGCTGCTTCTTTGCTTTCTGCTCTCACCTTCACTTAATAAACTGTCACTTCACTTCACCCTTTTGTGTCCGCAAGATTCATTCTTCGACTCTGTGACACAAGAACCCTGCAATCCTGTGACACTAGGACCCTGAGATCACGACCTGAGCTGAAATCAAGAGTCCATTGCTCAACCGACTGAGCCACCCGGCACCCCAAGGATCAAAGTTTTAATGTACTACATTTAGTTGTTACTTCTCTTCAGTCTCTTGAGATAGTCCAGTAATTTTTTTGTTTTTCATGACTGACTTTTTCGAAGACTCAAGGCCAGGAAATGTTCCACACTCTGGTTTTGTCTCACTGCTTCCTCATGGTTTAGGTTCAGATTAAAC